GAGGAGGAGGAGGAGGAGGAGGAAGGGGAGGAGGAAGAAGGGGAGGAGGAGGAGGAGGAGGAGGAGGAGGAGGAGGAGGAGGAGGAGGAAGGGGAGGAGGAGGAGGAGGAGGAAGAAGAGGAGGAGGAAGAGGAGGAGGACGACGAGGATGAAGATGAAGAAGAAGAACAACAACAAGAACAACAACAAGTACAAGAGGAAGAAAGAAGAAGAAGAAGAAAATGAAAGAAGAAAAAAGAAGAGAAGAAGAAGAAGAAGAAGAAGAGAAGAAGAAGAAGAGAAGAAGAAGAAGAAGAAGAAGAAGAGAAGAAGAAGAAGAAGAAGAAGAAGACGAGGAGGAGGAGGAGAAGGAGGAGAAGGAGAGAGAGAGAGAGAAAGAGAAAGAGAAAGAAAAAAAGAAAGAGATAAAAAAAGAAAGAGAAAGAAAAGAGAAAAAACAGAAGAAAGAAAAAAAGAAAGAGAAAGAAAAAAAGAAAGGGAAGAAAAAAAAGAAAAAAAAAGAAAGAGAAAGAAAAAAAGAAAGAGAAAGAAAAAAAGAAAGAGAAAGAGAGAAAGAGAAAGAAAGAAAGAGAGAAAAAGAAAAAGACGCGAAGGAGGAGAGGCGAAAGAGAGGAGGAAGGTATCTGAGAAGAACAATACTCTAAGAGTATTCTTTTAGTCTACTTAGGTATGAGTGAGTCGTGCGTCCTTCTTTCTGCTTCTTAGTCTGTCGTCTGTTTCAGTGTGATTCTTATGCTTCTCCTGAGAGGCGGTTTAGAGGAGGAATTGTCCGGAGAAGGCGGAGGGGCAGGAGAAGGAGGAGGGGCAGGAGGAGGGAACCGACAAGAGGCCTATCTCGCAAGATCGGGTTAGGCCTCAAATCTACCGACGGCCTAAAATTTCTCCTGAAACATCCTGGAATTTGAGAGATGGAGGACGGAGGCCAAGGGAAGTCAAGTGCACTAACTGTACGCTTGTGTTTTCTTCAAAGATCCTGAGGTGAGGCTTTATATTCTCTTTTTTTTTCATTTATTTTCCTTCTCTTTTTATATTTTCTGCTTCTATTCTTTGTTCTTCTTATTATTTTTTTAAATTTTATTTCTTATTCTTATTATTCTTATTCCATTTCTTCTTCTTCTATTTTGTCTTCTTCCTTTCTTTCTTTCTCTCTCTCTCTCTCTCTCTCTCTCTCTCTCTCTCTCTCTCTCTCTCTCTCTCTCTCTCTCTCTCTCTCTCTCTATCTATCTGTCTATCTATCTCTCTCTCTCTATCTATCTATCTCTCTCTCTCTTTCATACTTCTTTCTTTCTTCCATACACTCTTTCTTCTCATTATTACCCTCTCTATCCTTCTCTTTCCCTCTTTTTTTTTGCTTATTTCTTCATTCAATTCCGCGTCGACAGAATCCCCTCATTCGTGGCGTCAACATCCGTAGAGTTTCTCAACACGGAAGAGGTCTTCGTATAGTCATTCTTTCCAGAAATAATCTCCCTTTGGCCGAATAAAAACACCGTCTTGTGGTCGTGAATGAGTTTTCGTGGGAAGGGCGGATACTTAAGGGGAGGAGGCATTCAAAGTAGGTGCTTCTTGAGGGAAGATTGAAGAAAAAGATGAGAGAGAGAGAGAGAGGGAGGGAGGGAGGGAGGGAGGGAGGGAGGGAGGGAGGGAGGGAGGGAGAGAGGGAGAGAGAGGGGGAGGAGAGAGGAGAGAGAGAGAGAGAGAGAGAGAGAGAGAGAGAGGAGAGAGAGAGAGAGAGAAGAGAAGAGAAAGAGAAGAGAAGAGAAGAGAAAGAAGAGAAAGAGAAAGAGAAAAGAAAGAGAAGAGAAAGAGAGAAAGAGAAAGAGAGAAAGAGAAAGAAAAAAAGAAAGAGAAAGAAAAGAGAAAGAGAAATAGAGAGAAATAAAGAAGAGAAGAGAAGAGAAGAGGAAGAAGCTGATAAAAACAAGAGGTGTAATAACTTTAGGTAGATTTAGAACCTCCGGCACGCCCGCCCCAGACGTTCGCCATATTGTTTTTGTGAGCCAGCCCTGGAATGCGGTGCGTAGTGGGGGTGCGGATGGGGGAGGGGGAGGGGGGAAGGGAGGGGGGAGGTTGGCATAAACGGGGATGGAAAGGGAGGGGGAGGGGAGGGGGGATGAGAGGGAGTAAAAGACATGGAATGAGGGAAGAAGAAATGATTGACGTGGGTAAAGAAGATATGAGAGAAGAGATACGGGTGATACTAACGGCTGATAGGAACGGGAGGGGGGAGAGGGGAGGGGGAGGATGGAAGTGAAGTCACTTATACACTAGTTGTCCGTGGGCAAGTTTCGCCGCATTACGTCACCGTCGCTGTCATCACTATCATCACTACTGGTATGGTACATGTTGCCATACTGTTTGATATATAAATACATTACAAACGGCATTCGCTATATGTGGTCTCTAATTTCTTCCCTTTCTCTCGTTTATATATATATATATATATATATATATATATATATATATATATATATATATATATATATATATATATATATATATATATGCTGCGTACATGTGCGTAATGCAAGCAGGCACACACATAGACAGATGTACAACTACAAACACACAAACACACAAACAAACACACACACACACACACACACACACACACACACACACACACACACACACACACACACACACACACACACACACACACACACACACATACACACACACATACACACACACACACACACAAATAAGGAGCCCGACACAAGAAGCGAAACAAGGCGGGTAGCGGGACAGCTTGTAAGAGTTATCGCCAAATCGCCGGCGACACGAGGCCCCTAAATATTACTTAATCCCGCTTTCTTTAAATGGAACAAAGCCCTTTCCGGCGGCTGGGGGAGGGGGAGGGGGGGAGGATGAGCTAAAAAGGGGAAATGATAAGATAAGCATAATGAACATATCCGCGGGGCGGAGATATGCTTGTATTCGGCCAGGAACAAGCGCGCCCACACAGCTGATCACACACGCGCGCGCACGCACATATAAGCATACACACACATAAAGGCTCACACACGCGATTGATAACCAAATAAACGTACTAAGATATCTTTGTACACGGATTTTAGACACATAAAACACCAAATATGAAATCTCAAACGTACATACACACCTAAGCATATGAAAATTTTCATGTAGAAATGAAATATACGCGCGCGTGCGCACGCGTCGGCACATACCTGAGGGTGCAGGTCTGCTGAAGGCGGGGCAAGTGCAGGCCGCGAACTCCGAGTCCAGGTCATAGTAGTCCGGCGCAGGGTTCGGGGCGAGGGGGTCGCAGCGCCCCGCCCGGCCCCCGTACAGCAGCGCATCGATCTCCCGCTCTAGCAGCGCCAGGTCTGTGTCGTCGTGCACGCCCACGATGGGCGATGGTGGGCGCCGAAGGGAGCGCGAGGGCGGCGCCACGCCCGGCGAGGAGTGTCTGGACCATGAGGTCGGGGGGCGTGACTCCTCCCTGGCGGCGGGCGAGGGGGCGCGCGGCCGCCGCCCCGGAGACGCCGCCCGTGGGAGCGACCCCGTGGACGCCAGGAGGGGCGAGCCGGCGCGGAGGCCGCCAGGGGCTCGCCGCCCCCTGGTGCCCGGCGAGCACCGCGATCCTGTCGACGCACTTCGGGGCCGCCGCTCGGGAGAAGCGGGCGAGGCGGCCCGACGAGACACGTGCGTGTCCCGAGGGGTGGCTCCTCCAGGGGACGCGTTGCGCTGGGGAGCGGGGGATCCCCTGGGAGAGTAACGGGTAAACCCGGGATTTCTGACTTCAGCCGGAGTGGCGTGTGGGGGCGGCGACCCCAGGATGCCCCCTCGGATTCCTGCCAACTGGTCCAGGTCGTAGTAGGAGCCATCCGAGCCGGGTCTTCGAGGCAGGCCCGGCGAGGGCGCGTTGCCCCCTGAGCTCGGCGACCGAGGGACGCGGGACATGACGCGCGTCCCCATGGCGATGCGGGGCTTGGAGGCGCCGCCGCTGCCCGAGGAGGAGCCGGTGGAGGCCAGGGAGGCCAGGGAGCCGCGCTTCTCCAGGCGGTGGTCCAAGTAGGCCGAGGGGTCGGGGAGCTCCGGAGTGGGACACGCGCTCTTATAACCGCTGTCGACGCTGTTGCTTCCTGCGTAGCCCACTACGTCGGCGTCCGGGTGGAGGCGAGGCCCCCAACACGAGGACGCCGACGGGGGCGGCGCAGGGGGCAGCAGGTCCCCCTCGTCGCTGTCCGGATCGCCAATGGCACTGATGGTGTCGAGAAGCGGATTATCCACGGACCGTCTCAGGCGACGCGGACGGCGGCGGCGGCGGGGCGAGGCCAGCGCCAGGTCGTCGCGCGCCGTGAGGGGCGAGTGCGAGCCCATGTGGGAGGCGGAGGGCACCGCGCCCTGGGGGAGAGCCACCTCGGCCATGTGGGCGCGGCTGGTGGGAATCGAAGCAGCGACGTCGCGACTGGGGGAGGAGGCGGAAGCGTGGCTGGTGACGGAGCCCAGGCTAGTCACCACATCCCGCGGGCTGTGGGCGCCCAACCCCCCGGGCGGCGCAGGCGGGGGCGGCGCCTCGTTCCCGGAGGTGCCTGTGGGGGATGGGCGCGAGGCGGGACTGCCTTCTCCCGACGTCTGCTGGTGATCTATGAATTCTTCGAAGGTAGCGTACATGTGCCAGATTTGACGCGTGAAGTCATCGCCCTGCAGGGACAACTCCGCCTGTGGAAGAGAGAGAGAAAAAAATAAGAACATGGATCTCAAAGGGAACTGTAAGTGCGGCGAACTATGCTAAGAACAGTGCGATGTATACACGAATGAAAAAATGGACACAAACCAAGGGGCGTGAAAGCTAGCATCATGTTCTTGATATGGAAAAGGCATTCTGACACGTCATACTTTCTTCGCCATGTTTACACGACCAACACTTGGCGGAAAGCAAACAGACGCTCCCAGACGAGACGAGGTCACACTCCACGAAACTTAAGGGAGCAGAACGGAGGTCAGAGGTCAGGCCATCAGCCGACGCGGTCCTGTTCGTCGAGAGCCCGTTAAGGACCAGCACAACAAAAACAAAACGAAGCAAACCCAAACGAGAGAGAGAGAAACCGAAGATAAGATGCAAAAGTCGAGACAAAAGGATGGAAGTAAAATTAGACGACGAGAATCCCTTCCCCTTCCCCTTCCCCCTGTCCTTCCCTTTCCCCTACCCTTCCCTTCCCCTTCCCCTTCCCCTCATCCTTACCCTCCCCCCCTCCCCTGCTATGACCGCGTGCTCTGTTTTCAAAGAACGAACGAGAGGAGAAAAGACGCACAAAAAGTCGAGAAGAATGAAGAAAAGAAAAGAAAAACGTTAAGGACGAAAAAAATCGACATGAAAACACAAGAAATGAAATAAAAATAAAACAAAATAAAAATGTAACCACAACCGCAATCAAATCACACAAAAAAAAAAAATAAAATAAAAAAGACCGAAGAAGAAGAAGAGGACGGTTAAAAAATATTTCTTAAAAAAGAGAAGAGAAAGAGAGAGAGAGAGAGAGAGAGAGAGACAGAGAGGAGAAGGAGAAACCACAAGCCTGATTCCCTAAGCTGGTTCTCGTTATGCCAGTATCACAATCTGTCCGTTCGTCTGTCACACAAACAAGCTTTCCAACTGACACATAAACTGCAACATTATACAGAGGACCAATTAAAGCAGATATCATCTTATTAACTTATTAATGGGATGGGATAATCAGAATTACTACAAGTTGATGATGTCGTGAGCAGACGAATGTAGGCACAGATTGAGGCGAGGGAGAGAAGAGAGGAGAGGAGAGGAGAGGAGAAGGGAGGAGAGGAGAGGAGAGGAAAAGAGAGGGAAAGAGAGGAGAGGAGAGGAGAAGAGAGAAGAGAGAAGAGGAGAGGAGAGGAGAAGGGAGGAGAGGAGAGGAAAAGAGAGGGAAAGAGAGGAGAGGAAAAGAGAGGGAAAGAGAGGAGAGGAGAAGAGAGGAGAGGAGAGGAGAAGAGAGAAGAGGAGAGGAGAGGAGAGGAGAGGAGAGGAGAGGAGAAGAGAGAAGAGGAGAAGAGAGGAGAGGAGAAAAGAAGAGAGGATAGTGGAGGAAAAGTGAGGATAGGGGAGGAGAGGAAAGGAGAGGAGACAAGGGGAGAGAAGAGGAGAGAAGACAAGAGTGGGGGAGAAGAAAGGAGAGGAAAGGGGAGAAGATATGAGGAGAGGAGAGGAGAAAGGAGAAGAAAAGCAGAGACATAATAAGAGGAGATGAAAAAAGAAAGCAGAAGAGAGAGAGAGAGAGAGAGAGAGAGAGAGAGAGAGAGAGAGAGAGAGAGAGAGAGAGAGAGAGAGAGAGAGAGAGAGAGAGAGAGAGAGAGAGAGAGAAAAGAAAGAAAGACAGACAGAAAGAAAGAAAGAGAGACAGAGAAAACCCGGAAACTAATCAAGAGAAAAGTTCTCCACTCGAATGCTAATAAAAAACCTTTCACCGCAAACGTCGCAGTCTCCCGTAACCCCCTCCCACATCAGGTTAAGTGATAACACGAAGATAACCGCTAAAGAGGTCTAATGAAACCCACTAAACCAAGATAACGTGCAATCTTTTAATAATCTACGCTCGTATTTTCCCTTCATATCACAGTCTGCTACTGGTCATAGTTCCTCCGCTGTGATTGGTTGATTATGAGCTACGGGGTATCTTAAATTGCGTGTGATTGGTGGAATGCAAGGTAAGGACTATCCTATCTTGCATGGGATTGGTTGACCGCGAGCAGCAAGGTATGTTATCCTTTCTGTGATTGGTAGAACACGACCAAAGGGGTATCTTATCCTGTGCGTGATTGGCAGACTAGGAGATAATAGCTATCTGGTATTTCATGTCACCGCCCAGCGTCTGCTTAATGTTAAATGCTATCTCTTTTCTAATAGGTCAACAACCTAAGGTAATAATACTTATGTATTTTTTTATTTTATTATAATGATGGAAAATATAGAAATGCAGATAAGGCAGTAATAGTAATGATGGTTATTAATGTATCATATCAGAAAAGAGAAAAATAAACAACAGACAACAAGCAGACAGACAGACAGACAGATATAAACAACAGACAAAAATAAACAACAGACAACAAAGAAACAGAAAGAAATATCCAATAGCAAAAGACAAACTCAAATAAGCAATAGACAACAACAAAAAAAACAGAAAGAAATATCCAATAGCAACAGACATACAAAAATAAACAATAGATAACAGACAGGTAGACAGAAATAAACAACAGACAGACAGACAGGTAGACAGAAATAAACAACAAACAAACAGACAGGAAGACAGAAATAAACAACAAACAGACAGGTAGACAGAAATAAACAACAAACAAACAGACAGGAAGACAGAAATAAACAACAAACAGACAGGTAGACAGAAATAAACAACAAACAAACAGACAGGTAGACAAAAATAAACAACAGACAGACAGACAGACAGACAGACAGACAAATAGCATGGATAAATAGGGTTCAGTTCCCAATGGTATGCCAGGGTGAAGAGACACACTTATTTGGGGCAGCTGGAGTGTTGTTTGTATTGCTGATGCGGTGTGTTGCCAGGGGGGGGAAGGAGGAACGATGGGGGGGGAGAAGGAGGGAGGATGGGGGGGGAGGTGGGAGGAGGGAGGGAGGGAGGGAGGGAGGAGGGAGGGAGGGAGGGAGGAGGGAGGGAGGGAGGGACGGAGGGAGGGAGGGAGGAGGGAGGGAGGGAGGGAGGGACGGACGGACGGACGGACGGACGGATGGAGGGAGAGAGGGAGGGAGCGAGGGAGGGACGGAGGGAGGGAGGGAGGGAGGGAGGGAGGGACGGAGGGAGGGAGGGAGGGACGGAGGGAGGGAGGGAGGGACGGACGGACGGATGGAGGGAGAGAGGGAGGGAGCGAGGGAGGGACGGAGGGACGGAGGGAGGGAGGGAGAGATGATGATGATGATGGTGGTGATGATAATGATAATGATAATGATAATGATAATGATAATGATAATGATAATGATAATCAAGCACGGCTACGAAATAAAAAGCAAAGAAGAAATGAAAGACCAGTGAAAGAGATAATAAAAGACCAAAATAAAAGACTTGAGAATTAATCCCTCTCTCTCTCTTCTCTTCTCTCTCTCTCTCTCTCTCTCTCTCTCTCTCTCTCTCTCTCTCTCTCTCTCCTCTCTCTCTCTCTCTCCTCTCTCTCTCCCTCTCCTTCTCCCTCTCCCTCACCTTCTCCCTCACCCTCTCCCTCTACCCCTCCCCCTCTCCCTCTCCCCCTCCCCCTCCCCCTCTCCCTCTCCCTCTCCCTCTCTCTCCCTCTTCTTTTATGTATTATTTTTTCAGGTCTTGAGCCCCAGCCCACGCGAAGGCCTCTTGACCATCAGCCAGTATGAGACGCTTCAATTTTCTCAAACTTTCTAAACATTATTAAAGGAGTTAGTGGCGTTTGGCTTCGACTTTCTTGCCATTTACTTCCTTCTTCGTATTATGTTTTTTTTTTTTTTCATGTCTTTTGTTCTTTCTTTATTCATTTATTCATTTTTGTTATTTTTTATTTTTTTTCTTTCTTTCTTTTTGTTTGTATTTCTTTCTTTCTCTCTCTCTCTCTCTCTCTCTCTCTCTCTCTCTCTCTCTCTCTCTCTCTCTCTCTCTCTCTCTCTCTCTCTCTCTCTCTCTCTCTTCCTCTTCTTCTTCTTCTTCTTCTTCCTCTTCTTCTTGTCTCTTCGTTCTCATTCATCACCGCACATTTTCTTCATCTATATCGATTTTCTTAGATTTCTCTTCATCTAATTCTTTCTCAAACTTTTACCTTCTCCCTCATTCTCTCTCTCTCTCTCTCTCTCTCTCTCTCTCTCTCTCTCTCTCTCTCTCTCTCTCTCTCTCTCTCTCTCTCTCTCTCTCTCTCTCTCTCCTTGTTCTCATTTCTTTCCCTCCTTCTTTCTCAGAGGAGGAGACAGGTGAAGATGGCAATGCTTGTTTGTTTGTTTGTTTACCAATGTTGCGAGGAGGGAGGGAGGGAGGGAGGGAGGGAGGGAGGGAGGGAGGGAGGGACGGATGGAGAGAGGGAAGGAGGGAGGGAGGGAGGGAGGGAGGGAGGGAGGGAGGGACGGAGGGACGGAGGGAGAGAGGGAGGGAGGGAGGGACGGACGGACGGACGGACGGACGGATGGAGGGAGAGAGGGAGGGAGCGAGGGAGGGACGGAGGGAGGGAGGGAGAGATGATGATGATGATGGTGGTGATGATAATGATAATGATAATGATAACGATAATGACAATGATAATGATAATCAAGCACGGCTACGAAATAAAAAGCAAAGAAGAAATGAAAGACCAGTGAAAGAGATAATAAAAGACCAAAAATAAAAGACTTGAGAATTAATCGCTCTCTCTCTCATGCCAGGCTCACTACTTGAAGTCGCGTCGAAGTCACCAGTCATGCAGGTAAGCTTTTGCTATGACCACTGACTGTCTCATGCCCACGTCTGTCACCCAGATAAGGGAGAGGCGCCTGAGATGAGTCCCCGGGCTGCATGTACGTGTGTGTGCGTGTGTGTGCATGTGTATTCGTATTATTAAGAGGTCCTCGCCCCCATGAAAAAAAGGTGATTGTGATGCTTGGTGATATAAACAGTGTTAGTGTTAAGCATCACTATCGTTATGAAAGTGAAAGACAGAAGTAAAGTAACAATAATAATAATAACAAGGATAAAAATGATAACATACTAATAATGACAATAATGAAAATAATTACGATAATAATAACAATAACAACATTTCTAACAATACCAAAACGATCATGATAATAATGATAAAACAACAACAGAGAAACTTAAAAAAAGACTGTGAATGATACTATCTTCATTACCATCATCATAAACATCGCAGGCTACACACGATTTTACCGCAACACGACCCTGATCTTGGCCCTGGCGGAGTACGGCTAGTTCAGGGTCACACAACCAACGTTATCTTTCCCTTCTCTCAACGTCCATTTGCGTTCCGTTGTTTAACT